TAGATCAAGCAATAATGTCGATATATCAAGAGGGTTACGTACAGCGCCATCTGCCCGCGAATAGATCAAGCAATAACGTTGATAATTCTGTCAAACACAAATCCCGAGTTTGAGAGTTACAAACAATCAAACATACATACATACATACAGGTGAAGGTAATGAAAGCGTGTTAATTAAAATAGGTAATAATCCTTCATGATAAATATCATCCAAGTTCCAAAGTGTAGGTATCTGGACGCTAAACGCGCTACTACATTCCATTGCCAACCGATTTTTCTATCCAATTCAAATTGGAGGTGCTGCTATCAAACATCATTTTTACTAACAAGGTGTAATTTGAATGTTGCCTTTTGTGAGAAAGAATTCCAACAAAAAAATACAGCTGTTTGTTCCGGAATCCAAATGTTCCGTAAATCACAGCAAATGTAAAATTTTGTTATTTTATTCAGATGAATGGTTTATGTGGGCACATTCCGGCAATACTGTTGATAGCTATATCGATTTCATGAACGTATTCAAAACAAACATAAGTGAAATTTAATGTCGTTTCAAGCCTATTTCAATTTTTCCATTCGTCGCTAACCTGTTTATTCGAACAATATTTTTGAATATCGATGAATTTTGGGGTATCACTACCGAATAATGTTTATTTTTGAAAATCCAATCGTATGAAAATGCATTAACAAAAATATCTATAGAGCTTTGTAAACGAATGGGTAAATTCAAATTCAATAGAAAAAAAATGTAATATTTTTTATCCCATCAGTCGGTAGAGTAATGGATTTCATTTAATAAAATCTGTATTTCATTGGAAATTTATTTGTTTTATTCGTTAAAAATGAAATTGTGAAAATCATTCCGAAAAATTAGTGGACACTGTTACTTTGTGTTATAGAATTTTATTCGACAAGAGCTTTGTCCTATTTTTCCATCGATTTTACAATTATAGGTACGATTTTTTAATATCAATAGACCATTGAAAATACATACTAGTAATATGATAATATTCATTTCATCAAGTTAGATATATTAAAAAACAACATCTTGAAATCATGACTGAATAAACTACGATTCCACCGAGAATTTATTCCTTATTTTAGATGAAAATTGTGAAAATAAGTAAAAAAATTAGCAAACTATACATTTAGAGCGATAATAAAATTACTCACTAGGAGTTTGGAAAAATAAAACATAATTTATTCATCCATTTATTTCACTAACAATAAAGATACAAACAGACAGAGTCCATTACAGTATCTACTACTTACTCATTGATTACTGATAATTGTATGGAAAAAAAATCTAATTCATTCTGTAGAGTAGGGAGAGTGAGTGTAGGTCCACAGCACATAGGCTTCATGTAACCCATTGTACATCCTCCCAAAGAGTTGTCCTTCTAGATCATCGTCCATCATGTCCTTTCCAGGATGGTGGACAGGTCTCTAGGAGACATCTCCTTCATATCGGCAGGTGAAGGCTAAGACTCGCCGAACACACACTCTCTTATTGACGATAACTCCGGACATTCGTCTAGGACATGCCTGACAGTTTCATCTTTCTGTTCACACATTCTGCATAGAGGAGTGTCCATTAGCCCCATATTGTGGAGGTGTTTCCTTACTTGACAGTGGCCAGTCAGAAATCCTACTGTTAGGCGTATATTTTTCCTGGTCATCGTCAGATATTTCCTCGGCTCCGAATTCCCAGGGTCGTCCAGGGTAATCCTGGCAAAATTGCATCCTTTAGTTTCAGTCACTATCAGCGGCTGTTTCAAAGTCACCATCTGAATGATGACTCTGTCACATGATCTTTCTCTTGATGGACAATTACTACATCGTGAAAATTTCGAGTCCAGATACTGCAGAAGCAAAATTTCAGTGATAGTCTATATTTCTAACTAAGTATTTGTACCACTTCATATATACCGTATTGTTGTAGAAATTTAAGATGAAAAACTTATTGTCAGTAATCCAAATACACATTAAGTGAATAGAGCTATTTCGATGTCAAATTTCCAGACGTAAAATAATTCATCCGAGAATTTCGAAATGTTATTTACGATAATGGGACTCAGGAAAATGGCACTCCTTGTATTGACAATCCCCCAAATATATCCATGTCTACAGGCATTAACTTAATCGATTCACTACAGATTGTGAGCGTGAGAAACGAAAAAAGACATAATGTTATGCAAATTTGGCGATGTGTAGGCTAGATATATTTGTTAATGATCATTCACGCGTTATTAAGAAATGGAAATCATCGAAACACAACTTTATAAAACTCATTTGGTGATGTCACGCAGTAAGGAAGTTGATGTGTGTATATGTTATTCGAATAACCATTTTTATCATTGATATAAGATAAAAAAGTTACTTTTTTAGATGACTCATATGAATATTTTATTTATCATTTTACCATCATGTTTTTTTTTAAATTAGTTTCCTCTTTGTCCGTCTGTCTCCTGGTCTATTCGATACAAATTCTGCAACCGATTTTCAATCAATTTTCTGCTGAGGCAACGACAAAGGAACTTCATACTCGAAACAGAATTGAAATTTTATAATAACTTCAATACCTAATCACAGCAGTAATGAACCAAGTCAATTTATGTTATGGTTGAGGAAAAACAAAAATGACAAGTGAACAAAAATCGGAAAGAGGTGGAAAATAGACCACAGAATTCTTCAGAAGTCGGCTGTGAAGGGAATATTGTTCAGACAGGGAAAAATATTTCAATGCTTTTTTATACCTCAAAAACTACAGAAGTTCTGTAAACTTTGTTGTTTTATATTATATCGATGTATTTCCTTTTAAATTGTTGCAAAAAATCGAAGAAATACTGTAACAGATACATTAAAATTCACTTTCGATTTCAATATCAACCTGCACGTCGTCTCGATTTCAATCAGGTTGGAGCCTGGTTCCCTTACCCTTTGAACTGATGTTTGCCAGAAGGACAAACGGGTCATGACTGATGGTTGGTGTTGATGGTATGGCGGCATGAATGTCCTCAGACATCAGTACCGCCCTTCACGGTGTACCCCTACCTGGCTGGGGTGAGTTGGATGAAAAAGTTATTCATCTTTCAACGGAAGATATAGGGGCCTCATTCGACAGAGTGTCGAGGCCTTCTATATCGGGAGGGGTCGTCTACAGTGTTATCCATAGCTTCCCTAACTAATGGGTTTTCATGAGTTTCTGCACCATCGAGAACTCTCTGATTTCTCGACTGAATGGACTGCCGAACGGAAGGCAGCTACAAATCTCTGCGGATGGCTTCATTCCGCACGAACCAAGAAGCACTCACAATCATTCTTATTAGCTTGTTTTGCAATATCTTCAGAATAGAGATATAAGATTTCGCCACTTGTCCCCAGACGCCTGAAGCATACATTATGACAGGCTTGAACATCGTATTATAGATGGTAATTTTGTTTTTGAGACTCGTTTTAGATTTTCTGTTGATCAGAGGTTAGATGTGCTATCGGACCCTCGATCTTTGATTTGACGCTCGTTATGAGCGGGTTCCAAGTGAGCCTACGGTCTATTAAAAGGACGAGGTACTTCACCCGCGCTTGCCATTCAATCTCCCTTCCAGAGATTCTCACTTTTCTGTCCGGAGAAGATTTCAGTCTTCCCATGGTTATTGCCTGAGTCTTATCCGGGTTCACTCGGATCTTCCAATCAAGGTACGTCCAATCGAGGTCGTCCAATGCACGTTGCATTGGACGCACTCCTGTGGCACTCCAGCAAGGATCTCTCTGTTATCAGACAGAGATCCCTCTACTCTAACCTGAAATGTCCTGTCTTTCAGGAAAGACCCGATCCACTGGACGAGGCCCCGAGGCAGGTCGAGCGCATTTACTTTGTGCAGAAGACCTTCGTGCCAAACACGGTCGAAGGCCTTCGAGATGTCTAATAGGACAATGTGCACTTTTTTGTTGGTGTTTAACTCGCGGATGGTGTTTTAGACCAGCCTCAGAGCCTGTAACTCAGTGGAATGGTCTCTCCTGAAGCTAAATTGTTCATCAGGCAGAACATTTCGGTCCTCAACTTCTTCGTTCAGCCTTTGGAGAACAACTGTTTCAGCCAGCTTAGCCGCCGAAGAGAGTAGACTGATCGGGCGGTAGTTCTATGAGAACAGCGGGTTCTGACCCTGTTTTGGGATCATGACGACGACCGCATGCTTCCACCTTCTGGGGAAGTGTCTGAGGGGCAACAAACTATTTATTATGTTCAGTAAGCATTCAACGCAGTTGTCCGGGAGCCTCTTCAACAACTTGTTAGTTATTGAGTCGATCCCCGGTGCTTTCTTAGCCTTTGCGGCCCTGATATATCCCTTCAGCTCTTACACAGAAGCTGGAGATGTCGTCATCGTCATCTTCCCCGAGGAGTTGGTGAACCCGGTCTTCCAACAGCATATCGCGATCGATGTCGTCGTCGTCGTCAACGTCAACGTTAAGCTGAAACTGACGTTCCATCGAGTCAGCAAAGGCTAACGCTTTGTCGGCGGGGGAGTAGCATAATCCGCGATCTCTGTGAATGGGTGAGAGAGCAGTCTTCTTCCCCTTGAGCGTGTGAGTGACTCGCCAAAGCTTGTCACTCCCAGGGTCAAAGGATTCCAAAAGCTCTTCCCACCTTTCGTTTTGATGATCAATGATGGCCTGCTTGACTTGATTGGCCATCCTATTTGCCGCAATTTTATCCCCTGGGAAAAGGGTTCGCTGATAGAGCCTTCTCAGGCGATTTCTCTCTCGTATCAAGGCTTTGATACGAGGGGGAAACTCATTATAGCTCCTCAGCGGACACTCCTCCCTGGAGGTGGACGCTCGAAACGCATCATTCACGGAAAGCTCGAAACGCTCGACTGCCGTCTCGAGTTCGTCAGGAGAGTCGAGTATCTCAGGAGGGACGCGCATCTCTACGAGTTGGGCTGTGAAGACATCCCAGTTCGTCTTAGATTTCGTGGAATAATCAGGGGAAGGAAGATCATCGCCCAATACCAGGACTACTGGGTTATGATCAGAATCCAGTTCCGACAAAACGTAAATTTCGCTAGTCAGAACGAGATGTTGAGAACCGATTCGAGGCGAGTGTAGTTGGGGCGAGTCGAGCCAAGTCAAGCCGAGGCGAATCTAGGCAAAACGAGCTTAGTCGCGGCGAATCGAGAGGAGCCGAAGCGAGCCGAGCTGAGTCGGGCCGAGCCGAATTCAGGCGGGCACCGACGAGCTGAGCCAAGTTGAGCCGTGACGAGTCGAGTCGAGTTGAGTCATGCCAATCCGAGCCGAATCGAGCCCTGTCTAGTCAAGCAGAGGAGATCCGAGTCGAGCAGAGGCGAGCCGAGTCGGGCCCAGGCGAGTCGAGGCGAGCCAAGTCGAGTCGAGCAGAGGCCAAGTCATGTTTATGCATCAGCAATAGTGCGGTTCGTAAGGCATTCGCGTATTCTGATTTCAGTTTTGTATTGAATAACTCTCACATCTTTCAAACGTAAATCATTCAACACTGAAAGGTTACTTTTCTCCATGCTGCATTGAATATTATTGCAATTGCCGGTTACAATTGAGAAAACTGAAATGAGTGATATATATTTCTGACCTATATATATAATATGATCCAAACAACAACATGTCTATGAGATAATTTAGGGTATGAAAGATAATTCACGGCAAAAAAACAGGTCAGCATGATAATTCATGGCAGAAAGCTAGTCAGCATAGATGAATACCGGTAGGAACTTATTTGAGAGCCGAGTTGAGCAGTGCCAAGCCAATTTGAGCCGAGGCGAGTTGAAACGGGACGAGGCGAGACAACCGAGGCGTGACGAGCCAAGCGGAGTCGAGTGGAATGAAATGAATTAAAATAGGCGAGTCAAGTCGAGTCGAGTTGAGAGGAGTGCAATGTTGTAGAATAGAATAGAATAGGCGAGCCGAGCCGAGTTAAGCAGAATGGAATATAATAGAATAGGCGAGTCAAGCCGAGTCGTGTCGAGCTGAGCCAATTGGAATGGAATGAAATAGAATAGGGTAGAAAAAGCAAGTCAAAAAGAGGCCAGTCGAGTCGAGCCGAGACAGGCGAGTTCAGTTGAGCAGAGATGAGCCGAGTCGAATCGAGTCCAGTGAAATGGAATAGGATAGAATACGCGAGCCGAGCCGAGCCAAGTCGAGTCGTGTCGAGTCGAATGAGATGGAATATAATAGAATAAAATGAAGTCGAACCGTTCTGAACTATTTTTGTAAAAATGATAAATAATGAGTGAACTATGAAATGTAATGCATAAATGAAAGCATAAGACAAATCTTACCCTATATTTGGAGAAAAACTGCGACAAAGACTAAACGAAAAGTTATTTACTTGACCCCCATTTCCATTAAAATAATTGTGGGTGACACTCCTGCTTAGAGGGTTGAAAGTTTTTCAATTTTCCAGTTGAAAATTTGCTGCTCCTATAAATGACCTTACTGTGTTTATTATCTTTCCCGGAAAGTTTATTCCTTGGAATTTCATCAGCAGGTATAATTTCTCAAATCAAATTCCTGATAGAAATTCAAATGGCCGAAAGATCCACCAATATCTTCCAAGCAAAATACTTTCCTTTCAGAAAATTTCAGTGAAATCGTTAAATCCCTGTAACTGGGATTCCATTTGAATGCCTCATGATTATGTTTTTTTCGATTTTTCAAACATAGAGTTGATTTCACTTCATATAAAACGCCGTAGGCTTTTTCAGTCAACACGAACAAAATTTTTACTCGGAAAAACAAGCACATTATTACAAATGAAATGCCAGTCTGATGATTCCACAGAGAATTCTCCAAATTAAAAACAATAATTAATTCTGATATACATATGAAAAGAGTATCTGGAAATGAAAAGTTACTCATTACATATGAGGCATGATCATTAGCGTACAAATATAAAAGTTAATGATACGAAACAGGTGATCCACAATAGCCCAGAAAAATGGGATGATGAAACCCATAAAATCTAACTTCATAAATTTTACTGATAGGAAGAAACATTTGATTTTACGTCGTGATAACTGATTAGTTTCATTCTAGGCAAAGTGACAGTTCGAAAATACGATAATGCATAGACACTACTTTCAGAGACAAACTAGAAGAAAAAGTCATTCCGAAATAACCGCTTCCAAATGAACAGTGAATAACACGAAAGAGAAATTACTTTCAAAACAACTATTGGTTGTTTGAACTGTTTTGTCCGTTTCAATCTGTTAAAAAAAATCTGTTTTTCCAATAATCAGCTGTCTAACTCATACGAACGACAACTCTCAGAAGTTGAGAAACCCGTGCGAGCCAAGGACTAACGAGGTCTCACCTTTTAACGTGTGATTCCTAACACAGTTGCAGAATCATCCCAGCTTCTACCAGATAAATTATCTCGAGGAAAATATCTGGTCGAGGCAGGAATCAAACCCACGGCCTTCCGATCGTGAGTCGGGCGCACTACCACCGCGGCCAATTCCACAACAATATCATGTGTTTTTGTAGTTCCACACCTCAATAAATATTTATTCCACTGTGTTGTGGTATATACTGATCGATTGTGAATTTTTTACTTCATACGTCGATACTATTCAATTTTTCCAAATTTTAATGATATGCCTTGTTCCAGCTTGGTACCAAATTTTCTCTATGAATTCAAATTGAATCAAAGCGTTGCCGAAACAACCCAAAAAATTAAGCAGGCATTTCGCAATGATGTTAATGAACGCTTTGTTCGATGATGTTTGCGAAATTTTGATCCAAATATTTTAGCCTTGAAGATAAACCCCGAAGTGACCGACCTACAGTAATCTAGGACGATGATTTGAGGACCCTTATATAGATGCTATCGAGTGTTTATGACATGAATCAAAAATGAAACAATTTGTGGACACAACACTCCAAAAAAGGTCAAAACGCGGACAAGTGTTTCTGGCTATTGGCCTCATCAGTGTGGTGCAGCCAAGTGCAAGGATGGGCAACACTGGTTTGCCAAAAATTGGAAAAAACATACGCACGGAGTCAACAACAAAAAACAATCGCACATTTGTGGTTCCGATTAGGAGACCTAGAACTCCCAGGCTACATCTAACATGACCACGTAGGCAGCTATAGCTAGCAGGATATGAACGAAGATATAGATACTATCGAGTGTGTATGATAAAAATCAAAAGTGGAACCATTCGTGGACACGTGTTCCTGGCTATTGGCCTCATCATCGCGGTGCAGCCAAGTGCAAAGATGAGCCACATTTGTTTGCCGAGAATAAAAACAACATTTGAGCACGGAGTCAATAAAATGTGCGGTTGCACATTTGTGGTTCCAGTTAGAAGACCTAGAATTCCCAGGCTTCATCTAACAAGACCACGTAGGTAGCTATAGCTACTTGCGTGACATCCGGGTCCAGGATTTAAACAAAGATATAGATGCTATCGAGTGTGTATGATATAAATAAAAAAAGAAACATTTCTTAGACACTCTAAAGAAGGGGCAAATCTCGGATACGTATTTCTGGCTATTATTAGCACGGTGCAGCCAAATGCGAAGATGGGCAACACTTGTTTGTCAAAAATAGGAAACAACACATACGCACGGAGTCCAGAACAGGAGCGTTTCCATTCTTTCTGCGAAATTTTTTAACATATCCTGTTCAAAGATGAAGTAGAATGTCAAAAAATTTCTTTCCCAGAAACTAAAATAAAATTTTACCGTTAGTAGCCTCGTGTCGAATAGTGAAATGAAGTTTTCAATTCCCTTTCGACGATAAATATCAAAATGTTTCAGTTTTTTCCACGAAATAGAAGGGCGGTGTCGTCGGCAAAGCTGATAATATTCGCTTCCACATCAATATTGTAGAGATCATGGATATAAATATTGAATAGAATAGGTCCAAGCACCGTTCCTCGAGGCACTCCACATTCAATGACTTGGTCTGAACTAAATGAACTATTGATTTCAACTCTCTGTTTTCTATTCGATCAATAACTATTTGATTGTATCTCAGAAATTATTTTTTCTTTCATTCATTTCAATCTTTAAATGATAGTAGCTGTTTTGAGAGGGTAAAGTTACTTTTTTGCATGATTGATGATTTATGGTACCCAATCAACGATAATATCAAAAAAAGTTGGTGTACCGCAAGGTTCAGTCCTGGGACCGCTCCTTTTTGCAATTTATATTAGTGACTTCCATGAATTTGTTAGTTTTGGTAAAATACATCACATTGCATTCATACATTTCAACTTATTTACTGCCGCTTCGTCAATAAGATCTATTCTCTTGACAGTCAGGCTTATTTTTTTATTATTATCATTACAAACGCAGATGAATCATCGCGAAGAGACATTAAACCAACTCGCGAAACGATCTTTTTTACCACCAGTCCCGTTCTTGAACACGTCACAAACATGTGCAAGCTCTAAATTCAATGTAACATTATATTTTGATAATCTCCCACCGATGTTGAACCATACGCCGTGATCTAGATCTGCCTCCCGCTTTGTTTCACAGTTTATTTTAGATCTGCAGACATTGAAAACCAAACCGCAAGAGACGAGACACACTTTTTTCGATGTTGACGTATTTTAATTGTTTGTTGAATCGATCCCTGACATGATACGCCATGGTGTTATGTTTCGAAAGTGGCCGCAATAAAAATGTTCATGGTATTTAAATTTATACAGCACTTTCTGATAGTGTATAGCGAAGTTTTGGATTTTCAGTCTACCGAAATTTTCTGAAATTTTTTTACCGATTAAACATCAACTTATTCGGGTAAAATAACTACACTGGCTAGATATTCAACAACAACTGACTAAGCATTCAGTAATTTTGTAAGCAGAGGTATAATCGAAGTAAACGATATTGTGCACTCTTAAAGTTTTCGGCACTCTCAAAAGCCAAAAAACCAATACATAGAAATGATCCGGCAGCCAACCAGTCCACGTCGACTGTAGACTTGGCCGTTCGTATTGGATAATTTTCACTAACCGATTTTTATGACTGGCTGAAGAGTCATAAATCTAAATTTGAAGTCATGTTACGGTGACGATTAGAAATCGGGAATGCGGCGATGGTTATCGCCGTCGTGTTCAGTTCAGAAACTGATGGCGATTTGAGTGTTGAAATTCGATATTGGTGCAGTTATAATCACTTAAAATTTTTATGTGTTCAAAATATGGCGTCCTTGGACAAGTACTAATAGTAATAATGAGTGTGATAACAACGCAGACTTTTTCTAGTGTAGTGATGCCAATAGTGATGTTGAACAATTCGAAAAAGAGATGCCGGTGAATAAGGTTCGGATGTATTTGANTCTAACTAAGTATTTGTACCACTTCATATATACCGTATTGTTGTAGAAATTTAAGATGAAAAACTTATTGTCAGTAATCCAAATACACATTAAGTGAATAGAGCTATTTCGATGTCAAATTTCCAGACGTAAAATAATTCATCCGAGAATTTCGAAATGTTATTTACGATAATGGGACTCAGGAAAATGGCACTCCTTGTATTGACAATCCCCCAAATATATCCATGTCTACAGGCATTAACTTAATCGATTCACTACAGATTGTGAGCGTGAGAAACGAAAAAAGACATAATGTTATGCAAATTTGGCGATGTGTAGGCTAGATATATTTGTTAATGATCATTCACGCGTTATTAAGAAATGGAAATCATCGAAACACAACTTTATAAAACTCATTTGGTGATGTCACGCAGTAAGGAAGTTGATGTGTGTATATGTTATTCGAATAACCATTTTTATCATTGATATAAGATAAAAAAGTTACTTTTTTAGATGACTCATATGAATATTTTATTTATCATTTTACCATCATGTTTTTTTTTAAATTAGTTTCCTCTTTGTCCGTCTGTCTCCTGGTCTATTCGATACAAATTCTGCAACCGATTTTCAATCAATTTTCTGCTGAGGCAACGACAAAGGAACTTCATACTCGAAACAGAATTGAAATTTTATAATAACTTCAATACCTAATCACAGCAGTAATGAACCAAGTCAATTTATGTTATGGTTGAGGAAAAACAAAAATGACAAGTGAACAAAAATCGGAAAGAGGTGGAAAATAGACCACAGAATTCTTCAGAAGTCGGCTGTGAAGGGAATATTGTTCAGACAGGGAAAAATATTTCAATGCTTTTTTATACCTCAAAAACTACAGAAGTTCTGTAAACTTTGTTGTTTTATATTATATCGATGTATTTCCTTTTAAATTGTTGCAAAAAATCGAAGAAATACTGTAACAGATACATTACAATTCACTTTCGATTTCAATACCAATAAGCTGAAGAATGATTGCAAGCTTCAGAATTTCAATTACAATTGGAAAAAGTATCGGTTTAGGTATATTTGCAACTTTGCCATACGCCAAACGTATAATGATTTTACTTCTACATTTGCATTTTCAAACTAACGAAAAAAACGCAATAAGTTCTGCACTAGGTTAGGTTAGGTCTTGAGTGAGTGGGTCTATTCAACCCTCCACCGCAACACGCAAGGGCTTATTGTGGCTCACACCTATTCACACTCGGCCAAATGAACCCAGCTTCTTAACGAAGCCGATTAGTTTGTATAGTAAGTGGTATTTCATGTCAGATGGTAAAAGTACGGCTCTGCCGAAGTCTAAGAACCTGATTCGATTCCCAGCAGGGCAGGTACAAAGTATATTCATCATATTCCAAACAGAAGCCACACACACTGTCTTTCGACAGTCCAAGTCCCTGCATATGATGATTCAAATGACAATGACCTGTAAGAAGGCCTGTTAGACATCGCAGTTCATTCCTACTGTCGTCCAACAACTGTTTGGTATCAAACTTCGAAGGGTGAATGAACGCCTTGAAATGAGTCAATCCTGAAAGATTCTGCCAGAAGTCTATAAATCTTCTTGCCATCCAGGTGTTCAATGTTTGCTTGGCAAAGCCTTAAGCGATGCCAATGACAAGTTCTGGTATGATGAAGCTGCTTGCAGTACCCTCCTCTGCAAGGTAGTCAGCAGCTTCATTGCCTTCCAGGCCAGTATAGCCAGGAATCCAGACCAGAGACAATCTGTTGAGTCTTCCTATCGAGGAGAGCCGTTTTTGACAATTTGCTACCAATTTAGAAATTGCTCGATAGGGGCCAAGAACTACCAACGCCTCTTAACTGTCTGAGAATATTTTTACTGACTTGTGTGTGAGGTTGGATTTATCCAATCTCTCAGCACACAATTCAATAGCGTAAATTTCCGCTTGAAATACAGTCGCATACGTTTCTAGGCAGGTAGATATCTCTGTCTTGGGTCTGTGACTAAATACACCTGCACCAGAACCGGTAGGTGTTTTTAATCCATCTGTGAACCAACAACTATCTGCTCTTAATGTTTCCTTCTCCCGGAGAATCCAGTTCTTTCTACTATAGAATAGTACTTTATAAGGCAGTTCGTAGTTGACAGTTGAAGGCATAAAGTGAGAGAACATTTCCAGAAAGCTGTGACTTCCAGTGTCAACCAACAGTCTATTGCAGTCTGCATTAAATTGATTTGTGCAATTGGCAATGTGCACAAGTCTGTATGCAGTCCATCTAGCCTCTCTCCCCAGAAAAATGTGGAGAGGAGGTAGATCTGGAAGGATCTCCATGGCCGCTGACGGTGTGGTACTGATGGCACCACTGATAGCCAGACAAGTCTGTCTCTGTGAGCCAGAGAGCTACGCTTGGACCGTTTTCTGTAAAGCCTTCGGCCTGGTGACAAAGGTTTCAAGACAGTTCTGCACTAGGTAATGAAACTAATATTATACGCTTGGCAAAAGTTTGCCACCTTCATTATTAAATGGAACCTTTATATTTTCAAATAGTTTTTTTGATTTTCAATAATTTGCCCTGAACAGAAAATATTGAATATGTGATGGGAAAATACTTTTTGGCTTTCTGTTCTCGATCTTCATACAAAAAATGATGAAAAACTCCTGAAATAATCATACTGGATACCGATTGTCACGATTCGAAGTCTGTTCTTCTTTGCCTTTGTGCAACCAAAAGATCAAATGACTTTCCTTGGTTTTATCGAATCTAGAGCATCCAATTTTCATGCTTACGAAATCAATCGACTCCTGTTACGTTGCCAAAAGTTCGTTAATTAAAATTGCAATTGCCGACCCAAGGCGAGCTGAGCTGACTCGTGCCAAGCCGAGCAGAGGCGAGTCAAGCCAAGATAAGTCAATCCGATCCAAGCCAAGATGAGTCGAACTGAGTTGAGTCGATCCAAGGCCGAGCCGAGCCAAGTCAAGGCGGGACAGGCCGATCCGAGGCAAGCCGAGATGTTGAGAACCGATTCGAGGCGAGTGTAGTTGGAGCGAGTCGAGCCGAATCAAGCCGACGCGAACCTAGGCGAAACGAGATCAGTCGCGGCGAATCGAGAGGAGCCGAAGCGAGCCGAGCTGAGTCAGGCCGAGCCAAATTCAGGCGGGCACCGACGAGCTGAGCCAAGTTGAGCCGTGACGAGTCGAGTCAAGTTGAGTCATGCCAATCCGAGCCGAAGCGAGCCCTGCCTAGTCAAGCAGAGGAGATCCGAGTCGAGCAGAGGCGAGCCGAGTCGGGCCCAGGCGAGTCGAGGCGAGCCAAGTCGAGTCGAGCAGAGGCCAAGTCATGTTTATGCATCAGCAATAGTGTGGTTTGCAAGGCATTCGCGTATTCTGATTTCAGTTTTGTATTGAATAACTCTCACATCTTTCAAACGTAAATCATTCAACACTGAAAGGTAACTTTTCTCCATGCTGCATTGAATATTATTGCAATTGCCGGTTAGAAAACTGAAATGAGAGATATATATTTCTGACCTATATATATAATATGATCCAAACAACAACATGTCTATGAGATAATTTAGGATATGAAAGATAATTCACGGCAAAAAAACAGGTCAGCATGATGCTTCATGGCAGAAAGCTAGTCAGCATAGATGAATCCCGGTAGGAACTTATTTGAGAGCCAAGTTGAGCAGTGCCGAGCCAATTTGAGGCGAGGCGAGTTAAAACGGGACGAGGCGAGACAACCGAGGCGTGACGAGCCAAGCGGTGTCGAGTGGAATGGAATGAATTAAAATAGGCGAGTCAAGTCGAGTCGAGTTGAGAGGAGTGCAATGGTGTGGAATAGAATAGAATAGGCGAGCCGAGCCGAGTCAAGCAGAATGGAATATAGTAGAATAGGCGAGTCAAGCCGAGGCGTGTCGAGCTGAGCCGATTGGAATGGTGTGAAATAGAATAGAGTAGAAAAGGCAAGTCGAGAAGAGGCGAGTCGAGTCGAGCCGAGACAGGCGAGTTCAGTTGAGCAGAGATGAGCCGAGTCGAATCGAGTCCAGTGAAATGAAATAGGATAGAATACGCGAGCCGAGCCGAGCCAAGTCGTGTCGTGTCGAGTCGAATGAAATGGAATATAATAGAATAAAATGAAGTCGAACCGTTCCGAACTATTTTTGTAAAAATGGTAAATAATGAGTGAACTATGAAATGTAATGCATGAATGAAAGCATAAGACAAATCTTACCTTATATTTGGAGAAAAACTGCGACAAAGACTAAACGAAAAGTTATTTACTTGACCCCCATTTCCATTAAATATATACAGAAAGTGAAGTGAATTAGCTATTCAGTAAGTAAATCACTTTGGCCTTTGCTCATATAAGAAATGAGTTATTTCGATTTCTGCTTAAGTGACCGCCATTCCCCCATTCTACCCTAGTATTGTTAGTATCCACAATCGTAAATGAAATCAAATCAGCCATATTGGATGACACTAATGTACAGGCATCTGAAGTAATACACAGAAATGTCGCTTGAGATGGTGAAGCTCCAAATACTCAAGAATATGTTGAATAATAGTGATTGTTCATCAATATCAACAACAGTAATCTCATTCACAAAAAAATAACTCTATTCAGTGCACACGAAACCACATTTGTAAATCTTTCAATTCGTTCTGCTGAATAATCAGGTGCTGAAAATGGACTGAGCAAAAATTAAGCGTTCTTGACGCGTTAAACGCGATAAAAATAATCATCGTAACCATGCAAACGAAAAATTCGTGATAGTCGTTTAATACCAAGAAATAAAAACCGAGCACATGTGTACAATATCCGACGCCATTTTACGAGCACGCAAGTAGCAAAATAAACACAAAAGGTTTCCGGGAGGTCTTATCCCCTTATTTGCAGGAGAACTAATGGCCGTCCCGTTTTACAATGCGAATTTGGCCTCAAACGGAATTATGATTCGTAGAATCGGACATTATGATGTTGATTTTCAACTTGTTTCCGTTGTTCGAATTAATATACTTTTTACTCAAACTATAACTATACAGTGCATTCCATTTGAAATACACTGAAATACATCCTGAATAACTTTTGGTACAATGATTTGCAGGAAAAATTAAAAAACACATCAACCATAGTATACAGAGGGACACATTTTGAAATACACTGAAATACATTCTGAATAACTTTTGGTACAATGATTTGCAGGAAAAATTAAAAAACACATCAACCATAGTATACAGAGGGACACATTTTGACATTTACAGATTCAATATAACTTTCCCTTTCGCACCCTCAGAGCATGTCACAATTTTTTTTCAAATTGATCACCCTATATTGTTTCGCATTATCAGATGCTCCATGATGGGCAAATTTCAACGAAGTATAAAACATATGGTCTCTGAAGCTTATAGTTCGGGAGCTACAAATTATTTGAGTTGAAAACGAGCCATCCTGAATAACTTTTGAAACAATGATTTGCAGGGAAAATAAAAAACAAGTTAACAATTATACAGAAAGCCACATTTTGGAATATTCGTTTTAGAGACAAATATGGAAGCAATAAATCAGAAAAAGAGATTATTCATTAATTCTTGAATCAAAATCTGATGACTGGACAATGAGAAGAAAAAAAATGTTCTATAGTATTCAAAAACGTTTCCACCAATTTCCATACAATGGTACAAACGAGGTTCCAATGCCGCCCTCACATGGTTGAGAATCTCGAGAGTTATTGCTCTTCAATGCCTCATGATATTCTCTCTCAAATCTTCTAATGTTGTTGATTCTATTTCATGCTTTTTGGATTCAAATGATCCTATAGAAAGAAATCTACAGGAGTTAGATCTGGAGACCTTGGTGGCCATTTTGTAGGACCTCTTCTGCCAATCCAGCTAGCAGGACAATGATCATCCAAAAATTGTCGCACTGGAGCTGCATAATGAGGAGGTGCACCATCCTGCTAAAAAACTATTTCGTTTTCGAATGAATTTATATCCTATTGCCCTATTGATGCATGGTATTATTCGATTCTCCAACATATCCAAATATTTATCACTAGTCAAATTATCATTGATAATAAAGGTCCTATGATGTGGTCACCTAAAGTTCCTGTCCGAACATTCAGTTTTTGAGGTCGTTGGGTATGAACTTGATGGTATAAATGGGGATTTGTATCACTCCAATATCAACAATTTTGCCGATTCACCTCTCCATCCAAACTAAATGTACTTCCATCCGAAAAACGAATTTTATTCCAGAAATTCTGATGCAAGTTGATCCGTTCAGTGAGACTTTCACAAAACTCGATACGTCTATCAAAATCATCTTCGTTCAATTCATTAACTATTCTAATCTAATATCGATGAAATTTGTACTTATGAAGGATCCTGAAAATATTTGTACGACTGATTCCTCATTCACGAGATAATGTAGTAAGATATTGCGAATTCTCCATTATCATAGGGGAGCCCAAGCAAGGATTTCAGGAATTACTAAAACGCGGCAGATTAATATACAGGGGGATACCTTGTACTCGGTTAAGTACGTCCGTGAAGGATAAAGGATCAGATTATTGGAAAAAATTGATCATTAGAAATTCTCGAGCGCGTCAGATTGAGGTAGGGTGAGTTAATTATATGCTAAAAAGTTTATATTCCAGTAATCTGACAATTTGAGAGTGACGTAAAGAAAGGGGAGGCAGCAAAATTGTAAAAAAATAACGTCATTTCGACATTCTCGAGCGTAGCTATTTTTTTTAAGGAAATGATTCAAGGATAATGTGACGATTTCCGCAACCCGAAATAACAAAAATTCGTCGATGAAGTTCAATGCGTGCAGCTGTGTAATATCTAATTTACCTCTCCGCGTTTCTATTCCTCTTTCACTTTTTCTCTATCTACTACGCTCTCACTCCGTCCCCACTCTGAATTATGTTGCCACAGCTGATCACAGAGACGTGATAAAGATGAAGATTAATTTATCAATTGATTACAAAAAATTTAATTTTTTTCAGCATTTTTTAAAAAATATTTTCTTACAAATACAAGTATTCTATTTAAAAAACATACACATATGTATCTGCATGCTATTTCTTCAGCTTTTCAATTAATTAAGTTCAATTATTTAAAAAAATGATTTTCTTTGTCACATCAGGNTCCTACATGCTGAAATCCATTGTTTAGACAGTTCTTTGCTCTTTGGGAATCGAAAATACTTAATATTGGTCCCTTTTGTCACTCTGTTGTAATTATTACAACCAAAAACCGCACAACCAGGCATTCTTAGTTATATACCTACCTACTCGTATTTTTGTTTAATTATTGAAGCTTCGAATACGACACTAAATTGACAAAAGCTAATTAAAAATGTTTGAAAACCACTCTTGACAATAATTTCGTAATAATTCTTAAACTTCACAGCACAACAGAGAACTTGTGAGAAATTCAAATTGAATTTAGGCAAGTCTACGAAGTTACAACCCCGATATGCTTCGCACTCACGTCATCTGCGCGAACTGGACGCGTTTGGAACTAACGAGTAGCATACCGTTATGAGTGTATCGTGTATTATATAAAACATTTTTCTTTATATGACCTAAGCTTTGCAACCTAATATGTCTCTATGACGCTCGAGTACATCACCATTTTGCATCTTGGGCTGCCCTACTATTAGTTCATTGCAGTACAAACAGCTTCATCGTTAACAACTCCTGAACGGTTATGCTTTTTATTGTTGACATATCCAGTTCACATAAATTTGTTCAATAATTCCGAAACGTATTTGTGTCGTACATTTCTTCTTGGGTGCTCTAGCACTATTTCCATTCTGGTAGTACAAACTCACTATTTCAATCCGGTCTCGAATCGTATAAACCATAGCTTCTCAAGAATTCACAAGGAGAGAAACATCAATTGTAATTTCACCTGGTAGATAATCGTTATT